AAAAGAAAAAATATTTTCTAAAAACATGTTATTTTCTGCTAACCAACAAATCTTATGTTATCCATGTCAACATCTAACAATTGAGTTGATATTATAAATGTAATATGTATTGAATCATTAGATTATAAAACTAATTTATGTACGATTTACATTATGTGTATTAAGTATAAATAGAATGTAATTCTTTATAAATGTGATAAGAAGTTAAGGTGATAAAAAGTCAAGGAAAAAGTATTATAGGATCTAAATTGTATTAGATTGTAGAAGATTAATCACTAAATAAAAATTAAGACTTTCAATATTTAAGAATCCTCCCTTACTCAAATTCTTACTCAATGACTTTTATTTTACTGTCTAACTACAAAATGGATTCTCATAAATTTATATATATATATATATATATATATATAAACTGCATAAGTTTTTTGCTCAAAAAAATGTAACGAAAGAAGTGTGGTAAGAGAACAGTGGGTACGTTGTAGGCTTTGGCAATGGGGAATAGAAAAACACCCAGGTGGTGCAACTTAAGTGGACCTTTGCATTGGCTTTCGTCATGTTGCTTTATAGGGGGATTAATAAATTTAAGCTTTGAAACCTGACGTATTAGTGGGCGGTCTAAATCTTTGAATTATTTTAAAATTTGAAAAATTGATAAATTAAAATTAAAAAAAATTATACAAGTAATTTATTTCACAACCAGAATGCCTTTTTCTAGCTAGTTAGAGCCAATACAAGTTGGATTTGCAAAAAGTAACTATTAGTGGGAATAATCTTCTTTTTCTATTGATTTTTTTTTTGGTTTCTCGCCCAGTATCCGAGGCTTCGCCTCGATTATTTCGGATTCGACCAGTTATGGCGCACCAGAATGATGGGTGGGTCTCCCAACGAAAGCTGCTGCGTACACAAGGTTTCGAATTCAAGACCTTACTTAAGCTGGAACAAACCGCTTGCCACTTGATCCAATTCTTTTTCTATTGATGGTTAATTGGTTATATTTCTATTTTACATTTAACTTTAAGAATGTGTTTGAATTAATTATTTTAATGTAATTAATAATTAATATTTAAAATTAATAATTATTATTAATAATAATTCAAATGTAATCAGTTCAATTAAATTCAGCAGTCAGATCTATTCTTTAAACTCTCAAAAACAAACACCTACTAAATCTTATAAACTTACTTAATAGCATACTTAAAAAAAAATTTACTTAGCTGCAATTATACTATTCATAATACTACTAATTCTTTTTTATTTTGATGAATCTTGTCATTTAATATACATTTACATGTATGTAACAGATAATTACTGTTAGATTTTTGTCTGATAATACTACTTATATATTAGCATTGATTTGTAACCATTTATAGAAGGATTGGCCCAATATTAAATGTATACTCCTTATCATTAGTTATAAAATATATAAATTTTATAAAGTTTACTACACATTATTTTTTAAAAAATATAATAAATTATAATTAGTAGATAATTTTATGCAATAGTAATAGAAAGAATAATAATAAAAGGAACATATTTTTTGAGATAAAAAATTTAAAACTAATAATATAACATAAATTACATTATTTAAAATATTAAAAAATAAATTATATATTATTTAATAATTAATTTTTATATTTTTTGTTAAATTTTATAATATTATATATATCAACTTATTTAATAACATAATTCATACCATATTATTAATTCTAAATTATAGTCTTCGGTATCAGTATTCTAATAATATATTGGGTGAAAAAACTAGTGTCGGCAAGGTCCTTCTCCACGTGGCTAAAAACTCAACGCAATGGATATGCTATGAAAAGGATGGATAATCGAAGAAGCCCTTGGCTTATTTTATTAAGGAAAATAGTTTTTGTATAATTATTTTATTTTATTTTTATAATTTAATATGTTATTAAAATAATTAATTTTTTTAATTTATATAAAATTTATGATATTAAATATATATTTATTTAATAATATAAAAAATTATATGATAAAATCTTTTCATACAATTAAGTCATATAACACCACTCTTTTTAAAAGTTTTCCACCTAGTGAAATGATGACATGTATTATCATAGGATTCTTTTGTCTTTTTGACCTTCTCTCATTCCTTCTCTAAAAATCTAAACCCCATCAATTTCCAATCTTATTATATATCTTCTTCTTTTCATTTATTGGCTTGGAATAACCCTTAAGTTAGCAAGTCCTTAAACTTAATTTTTGATCCAATTAAACCCATTTATATTATATAACCTAACTGGTTAGGCCAAAGCTAAATAATTAACATAAAAAATTATGTTAATGTCTCATAACTCTCTTAATCACTTACCCAATCTGTTTTCGTAGTTTTTGTGAAAAAGCTGATGTTATTGTGTTGATAAAAAGAGTCATTTTGTGAGGATTTTACCAAATTTTGACAATAAAATTTTTGTCAGTCCAAAATTATCATCAATAGTATATTTAAATTGAGTGAAATGGAGAAGAAAGGAGAAGATGGAAATTTTTTGTTTTTATTTAGTTATCAAAAAAATTAAAGTAAATGGATGAAAATGAAAATATATAATCTTCCCCTCTTCCCTTCCCTTTCCTTCAACCCAAATATAATGTAAAATTTTCATATAAGTGGAAAAAAGTTCAAAAATAAAATCAGAAAACATTAATTGGGCAGAGCCTTAATGTTGAAATTAATTATAGGCACATAATAAAGTGACACATACGATTTATCTGTGGCCTTTAATTAGGGCGGTTTATACAGTACACGGACTTAATTGATCCAACGAAAACAAAAAAGTTCAAGTGATGTATTTTTTAAAAAACCAAAGAAAGAAAGAAAGAAAGAATCAAGGTCTAACTTAGGGGTTATTCCTTTCTGTTTTTTTGGTTTTTTGGGAAATGTTTCTTTCGGTAAAAGTTATCCATTGCAAGCCTTTTTGCATGGGATGGCAGATTATTCATCTTACCATGTCGGTGTAATTGATTAATTTTTAATTAAGTTTAGTCAATGAAGGTGATAAATGTTTCGATGTTTCTTTTTTACCAAACAATACGTATATTATTTGAATTCCAGATCAATCATTTGGTTTAGAAAATGGTTCAGTCCTTCTTTAAGTAATTGAATTAGTATATATTAGCATTAATTAGCACTTATTTCCCTTCATATTTTTTTGAGAAATGATTTTGAGATAATCTTTTTATATCATTTTTTTGTACAATTTAACATATCATTTAAATGATTAGTTCTTTTAATTTATATGTGATCTGTAATATTGAATGTATCCACTCATTTAATGAATTCACTCATTTAATGACATGTAAAAGTTGTATAAAAAAGTTGTCCATATAACATAGTTTCATTTTTTTACTCTTTAATTATGTTAATTCATTTGATTAACCTAATGTCTTTTACTTTGGAAACACAGCAAGAAGGATCGTTTGATTATTATTTTGTCTTGATATTTAAATATATGAACAAAATATTGAGTATTTCAAATTATATCAGATAATATAAGTTAAATTATTAAATAAAGATAATTTTTTTAACATTAAAAGTTGTTTATATTTAATAATTTATATTTTATAATTTGATACTGATATAAATTATAATAAAACCACGATATTTGTAAATATAAAAACATGAAAAATATGAATAAAATCTCTATCTAAACCTA